GTAACACAGAACAGGGATTAAAATAGTTTTAGTTATTGGTTTTTTAATTTTAAACTCATAAATCTTACCAAGAAAAGCAAGTAAGTATTTCAATACGACTTAATATTTTAAACAAATATAACATCACTTTTAAATTTTATAAACATAGTAGACATTTTAGAATATCCTGTTTAAAGGTATTGTGTATGGTGAAACTGAGGGCTAAAAGGAAAAAATGAGTTGAACAGAAGAGACGTATTTCCCCATCTGGTGTTCTTAACCTGGGATCTGTGACTCCAGATGTTTTTTAATAACAGCTTTATTGAGATATAATTCACATGTTATACAATTCACCTATTGTAAGTGTACGGTAGTTCAATAGTCTTTAGTATATTCAGAGTTGTGCAACCATTGTCACAATCAATTTTAGAACATTTTCATCACCCCCCCCCAAGAAAAATCCATAGCCATTAGCAGTCACTCCCTTTTGCATTCCCCATTTTCACCCCTGAGTGCTAAGCGACCACTAATCTTCTATTTCTATAGATTTGCCTATTCTGGACATTTCATATGAATGGAATTATACATCATGTGGTCTTTTACATCTGTCAATGTCTTCAAGGTTTATCCATATCGTAGCATGAATCAGTACTTCATTCTGTTTTATAGCCAAATAATATTCCATTTATGGCTATACCATATTTCATTTATTCATTTATCAGTTCATAGACGTTTGTGTTTTTTCTACTTTTTAGCTATTACAAATGATGTTGCTGTTGTGGCTTCAGATTTTAAACCTGCTGGAATTTTGTGGCATTCTTTTTTTTGGTGGAGTTAGTTTATAGCATTCTGGTCTCTGTTTAGTTCCTCAGAAATGCCAAGTCCATACCAAGATTGGGGCTTTTGCATGGGCCCAGGATGCTTTTCACCCGGCTGACTTCTACTTAACCTTCAGATCTTGGCTCAAATGCAACCTTCCCACGAGGGACCTCACTCCTATCCTCCCAACCTAGGTGACCCCC